AAGACAAGTAAAACATGGATAGCTGATGTAGCATCTGGAGCTGTCAAACAGCAGATCTGACAGAGCTTTGCTCACAGATTCGTTGTATGCTGAATATTTGGGGGGTCATCCTGTTCCTGCGCCTGACATGGATCACCTCTCAGGCAGGAATTGGTAAGACGTCTTGTTGTTCATGCAACAAACATATGGATATGTTGTCTGTTTACATCTGACATATGAAATAACAATAACAACAAAGTGACAATAGATCACAGTTTTTTTACAAATGGAATCAGTGCTGTGAGCTTCCATATAGCTTTACAAGATTTAGCATGTCCGTTATAAGCTAAAGCATCAACAAAATCAGGGTCTGAGTCCCAGTGGTCTACTGCCTTCTTTGGAGCTATGGTTTACTCATAGCTGGATAATAAAGCAATGCACCTCACCGGGTCTGCACTGGGGGCATCAGTGGTGCGAAACTGCAGCGGGACAGTTATTCGAGGTGCATCAGTCCACACTGCGAGGGGCATGGCATCACTGCCGTGCATCTCATTGGACTTGCAAGATCACCAAATCCCTGCAATGTCAACCATCATTAAAGTCACCACGCAAAAAGAAGAAAAGGAGATTGTGTCCATGGAGAAAAACACAGTTGTACTTCTTGAAAGATACAGGAAGTAAATAGTGTAGTGATCTGTAGTTTGTATATTTATACACTGTAATTAGATCTAAATATTATAATCAGAAGTGGTTGTTTTTATCATCAGGGAGTTTACTTAAACACTTTGTATTGACTGAGAGACAAGAAAAGAGAGAGTTGGGATCGTTTAAGAATCTTTAATTTCTATAATTAAGAATTCAACAATCTACCAGGACTAACTCAATGATGGATGCATATGGATTTGAATGTTATAGTGTTGGTGTGTGTGTGTGTGTGTGTTGTTCAGAATCTCTAGGCTGACGTAGAGAATCTGGTTGTTATGACTAGGCTACTACGAGGCTTCAGAAGCTGATGACATGAGCCACCTTTTTATGCCGTGACCACGTACCTATGGAGTCTCCCGTGTTAGATCAGGAAATGCCAGGTCCCCGGACCTTCAGATGTGCTGGAGCTGGTGGAGCAGCGGTCGCAGCACTACAAAGCCCGTCTGTGGATCGGCTCCCGGTATCAGCGGCAGGCGTCAGCGAGTTAGCTCTTATTTTGAAGGAACGTCGTCTTGTTGTTCAAACGACGGAAATCTCCAGCTTGACCGTTCTCAGCTTAAAGTAGGAAAGTGCATCTGGCCAGAATGCAACTTTCTTAATGATGATGATGGAAATCCTTAGGACCTCCAATTGAACAGAGCTGAGGTTAAAATGGAACTGACTATAAAATGGCGTTGCCTTGTTTTATATCCCCTAGTTGTTTACAAATCTTAGTAAACCGGATTGGACGCCTTTCATTAAACAACCCAGATTCTGCCTACGACAGACGAAAGTTCTGATTGGTTGAAAACAATGTGTCATGCGTTTCCATGGTAATGCAGATCAGTCTGTCTGGTGCAGTCCTGTTTATTCATTAAACACATAACTCATGACATCTTTATTTCACAGATCATTCACCTGATTATTAATGATCAACATATGCTTTGATTAGCTTTATCACGAATAAAGTACTTTGATTAATTAGTGGAAAGCGTTCTTCTTCTGTTCTTCTGTCTCTTCTCCTGGAATGTAAACATACTGAACCCAGCATCCGACCTTGGCGATTCCTACACATTGTTACTGTGTGAAGGGGCAGCTGTTAAGGGCAGACAATAGGATCTTAATAACGCTACAATAGTAAATAACCATTGATAAGACACTGCATCTCATCAATACACTTTTATTTTGAAAACTACTAGATGTTTCACACTGTTACTGTGTGCGATTTCCCGTCTAGCCCTATGTTAATGGGGCGATGGTGGCACAGGAGTTAAGTGCTCGCCCCGTAATAGGAAGGTTGCAGGTTTGAGCCCCGCTCAGTCTGTCGCTGTCGTTGTGTCCTTGGGCAAGACACTCAACCCACGTTGCCTGCTGGTGGTGTTCGGAAGGACCGGTGGCGCCAGTGCTCGGCAGCCTCGCCTCTGTCAGTGCGCCCCAGGGCAGCTGTGGCTACATTGTAGCTCATCCCCACCAGTGTGTGAATGTGTGTGTGAATGGGTGAATGACTGATTGTGTTGTAAAGTGCCTTGAGGGGTTCCAGGACTCTAGAAGGCGCTATATCAAATACAGGCCATTTACCATTTAATTGCAGAAATAGCTGCATCCCAGAAGCGAAAACAGAACCCAGTCATACCTTTAGCAGTGCGGCAGCCGGTTCGGATCAACCCCAAAGACTATAATGGATTCTATTTCAAGCAGCGACATTCCGCTGCCGTTCTGCGCCACTGATGCCTCTAGTGCAGACCCGGGGTTAGACAGTCCCCATTTGCGCACTCCACATAGCAGGCAATCAACCAGTCAATCTTAAAGAGAGAGTGTTGGAGTTTGAGATCAGTTCCAGTAAGAATATTTACCTGACATCAGCAGCAAGCAGATGTATCCTGTTTTGGTAAAACAAGCGTTGTTCCTTTATATATATATGTATATATATATAACAGTTTAAGTGCCATGTGTGTGTGTAAGGTCCATTTCCTGGTTATGCAAGACTGACGTCAGTAAAGTAGTGAAATAGTCTCTGACCTGATGTGAGTTAGGCTTTATTGACGGTTTCGGCCGAAGGCTCTCGGCTTTGCTGGAGGACTCGCTGTCTTGAAACATGTTTATGTAACTGAAATAAAGCCCCACTCTGTAACGGACATTTGCCTGGCCTCTTGTGTCTTCTTGAACCCATAAAATAGGAACCTCAAGAGATGTTATACTACTCAGAAACATTGGAAAACATTGTGAATCCTTGCCCTTGAGAGCTAAATCTAAGTCTTTCCTGAGAAATATATTTGAGATGATATAAACTGATATGGTGTTGTAAACCGCAAGGTGCCTAAACAAATCCTACCGACTAAAATGTATAAACCAATCTTATAACTAACATCTTGGTATTTTCCATGGCAGTGTTGACATGTCTTATCATCCTGATGTCTGTGGTGGTGACTGTAGTGACTGCTCTCTCCATTTCTGCCATTGCTACAAATGGCAGCGTGGCCTCAGGTGAGTCTCTCTGCAAATAATATTAAGTGTCAGCATCAACAGCCATTAATTACCATTCTACATTTCATACCAGCATTTTTTAGAAAACACTTGTGATATTGACCTGCTCCCCAAACGCATGCCAACAAAGGCCAAAAAAGAAAGACATAATCCACGTAAATAGAAATCTCTTAATATGACTTTTCACAATGTGGTTTTCGTCCTGGCCGTGGAACTGTGGACCAGCTCTATACCCTTGCAAGGGTGATGGAGGGGGCATGGGAGTTTGCCCAACCAATCCACATGTGTTTTGTGGATTTGGAGAAGGCTTTTGACCGTGTACCCAGATGCACCCTGTGGAGGGCACTCCAGGAGTATGAGGTGGACGGTCTTTTGCTAAAGGCCAATCAGTCCCTTTACCAGAGGAGCGTGAGTTTGTTCCGCAAAGCCGGTAGTAAGTCGGACCTGTTCCCAGTGAGGGTTGGACTCCGCCAGGGCTGCCCTTTGTCACCGGTCCTGTTCATAATGTTTATGGACAGGATTTCTAAGCGCAGCCGTGGTGTTGAGGGTGTGGAGTTTGGTGGCAGGAGAAACTCATCTCTGCTTTATGCAGATGATGTGGTCCTCCTAGCTCCATCAGGCTCTGACCTACAGCTCTTGCTGGGGAGGTTCGCAGCCGAGGGTGAAGCAGCTGGGATGAGCATCAGCCCCTCCAAGTCTGAGATTACGGTTCTTGATCGTAAAATGGCGGCTTACCAACACCGGCTTGGGAGAGAGGTCCTGCCTCAAGTGGCGGAGTTCAAGTATCTCGGGGTCTCGTTCACGAGTGAGGGAAGGAGGGAGCGGGAGATCGACAGGCGGATTGGGGCAGCGTCTGCAGTGATGCAGACACTGGACCAGTCTGTTGTGGTGAAAAAGGAGCTGAGCTGGAAAGCAAGGCTCTCGATTTACCAGTCGATCTATTGCCCAGTCCTCACCTGTGGTCTTGAGGTTTGGGTAATGACCAAAAGAACAAGATCGCAGATACGCAGATACAAGTGGCCAAAATGAGTTTACTCAGTGAGGTTGGCTGGGCTCAGCCTCAGGGATAGGGTGAGGACCTCGGACATTCAGGAGAGACTCGGAGTAGAACCGCTGCTCCTCCATATCAAGATGAGTCAGTTGAGGTGGTTTGGAAATCTTATTAGGATGCTTCCTGGACGCCTCCCCAGGGAAGTGTTTCGGGCATGTCGTGTCAGCAGGGGGCCCCCTGGTCGACCCAGGACACATTGGAGAAAGTATATCTCCGAACTGGCCCAGACCTCGGGGTCCTGCCAGAGGAGCTGGTGGAGGTGGCCGGGGAGAGGACGGTCTGGAACTCCCTAGTTGGGATGCTGCCCCCCTGTGACCCAAACCCTGATAGGTGGAAGAAGATGAGAAGAGACTTTTCACAAGCAAAATAGTTGCAAACCAAAGGTTTTTCTAAAAGAAAAAGAAATAAAGCTACAGTTTAAACGCTTTTGATGAGAATCTATTTATGTGTACTGTGATTTATTTTACATAGCAATAGTTTAGATAATATTTGTTCAATACTCTACAGGTGGGACATATTTTCTGGTCTCTCGCACAATGGGTCCTGAAATTGGAGGACCCATTGGGGTGGTCTTCTCCTTTGCCAATGCACTGGCATCTGTACTCAATATTGTGGGTTTTGCAGAAGTGATCAGTCAGCTATTACAGGTAAATACCTTATTTTTTATTTAACATATTTTTTCCTCTTAAAAATGAGAATAAGTGTTTTGGGTGTCCCCATAACATTCTCTACACTTTATATTCATTTTAGCATAAGAAATAAGAATGGTTTTTGTGACTAAGACTGGTTAATTATGCAGGAATTTAATGTGGTTATGGTGGACCCAACCAATGATGTCCGTATTGTGGGTGTGATCACTGTGACTGCCATCCTTCTCATTATACTGGCTGGAATGACATGGGTGATGAAGGTGAGGACATTTAAGACTTATTTCATATAATCTGATAAAAACAGCTAAGGTAGAAATCTACCTAACCTACCTAATGTACCTAACTGATTAGGTTCATCAGGCTTAATGGATGAATATAATTGAGCATCATCAGCATAAGAGTGGAAGTTTATCCCATGCTGTCTGAAGATTTTACCAACTGGAAGCGTATATATAGTAAAAAGAATTGGTTCAAGCATTAAACCCTGTGGTTCTCCACAAGTAACCGTAGAATATGGAGAATATTTCTCATTTACATAAACATTCTGAAATTTGTCGGACAGACCAGAGTTAAACCAGCATAGCGCTCTTCCTTTAATCCCTACATGTTCGAGCCTTTCTAAAAGAATAGCGTGATCTACTGTGTCATAAACCGCCCTGATATCCAGCAAGACCAAAACAGAAACAAGATCCTTATCCGAGGCCATGAGAATATTGTTTGTTACTAATGTCACTAATGCAGTTCTAAAGCCTGATTGTTTATCCATTTGATTTTGGCCGTGGGCTGGACACTGTCTCAGTAGGGTAATAGGTGGGTAACAGTTCAGAAGCTGCAGAGGGGTTGGTTAAACTACTAATCCACTCCACCTCAATCTGCTGCCAGTTCATGTTAAAATAGTGTCTCTAGGAAGCTCCTCATGGGAGAAAGAGCCAAAATAAAAACAGTTAAACTACATGCAAACTAAACAAACCAGCTGCATACAAATACTTCCCACTTGATGACAGTGGCATGAGATTCCATGTATGTGTGTGTAACTGAATGTGTTATGGCCTAAACAGCCCCTTCTGTATTTCCAGGTTTTTTAATTACCCTATATATTTTTAAAACATTTCTAATCTTTGTTTTTGTTTCAGACTCAGATGGTTTTCTTTCTTGCTCTCATGATCGCATTTTCAAGCTACATTGTAGGCACAATAATTTCTCCTTCAATTGAGAAACAGTCCATTGGTATCTTTGGATATCGAGGTAAATCCTGGTTTTCATATGCATTTCATCTTATGCCCAGTTGTCCTTTAAAACGTTTTACTCTCAGAACATGAATGATCTGACCGTGTATTTACCCATAACGTTTAAATGAAAGTAATAGTCAGTGCAAAATAATTTTGCTAAAAGTTGGTCAGAATGAATGGACACAACTAGTACTTGTAAAAAAAATATGTATAAAATTGAATGAGTAAAACTATTCTGACTGGTAGAAAACTCCTCAACAATTTTTTTGCGTCTTGTATTCATGGTATGTCAACTCCTGTGTGGTCTTTTTATAAGGTGATATCTTCGTACAGAACTTAACTCCAGACTGGAGAGGTGATCAAGGGAATTTTTTCCAGATGTTTGCCCTTTTTTTCCCATCTGTCACTTGCATTACGGCTGGAGCCAACATCTCGGGAGATCTTAAAGTATAATAACTATAGAAAGAATATCAACACTCACTAGACACACTATGTCACGACTGTGATCCATGTTTTATTTCCCTTTACAGGACCCTGCTAGTGCCATCCCCAAAGGCACCCTTTTGGCCATTCTGTGGACTACATTAACCTACTTGGTGATAGCAATAACTTCTGGTAGGTTCTTATCAAAATGTTCCTCAGATAAACTTCATTAAATCTTTGGGAAGGTTTCTCTGGGAAATGAATCATTTTACTACAATTTGCTTTTCCAGTGGTTTGATGTGATGTAAAATAGAATATAACAGAAGAACATAATAGAATATCTCTTTACTGTCTGTCAGTGGGGATATTTTAGTGTCACAGCAATAACCACATTCACAGCAAAAGCAAAAATGAATGAAACAATGTACAATGAACCAAAAAATAAACATAAATGCAAAATATACTAGAAAAGATCCAAATGAATTTATCACATAAATAAAACAACGTAGAAAGTCTAGAAGATTATTAAATACTGAGAGCACCAGTGGAGAAATGTGCAAATTAATGTGTGCAAGTAGAACATTAACAGAAATGTGAATCACAAAAAGAAACAGGAAAAAAAACTGTTTACTGGTTTTGTTGGGTGCAGTGGAGGTTGTAAATCCTAACAGCTGCGGCGCTGCTGTGACAATATTCCTTCCTACGATGAAGCTATCTGCCATTGAAGGAGTTCTCTAGCTCCATGGGGTGGGAGACATTGTCTTACAGTGATGGTATTTTGCTAGAGTCCTTCTATCTCCCACCTCCTGCACCAGATCCTGCACTCAGAAAGACCCCAGACCCCTTAGCAGGTAGCTTGTACTGATCCTTTCTAAAAAGAACGCCAGCATTATGGCTTCAGCCTAAGTTTTTCAGATAAACACCTGTAGATACTTTATAATCTACTCTATGTCTGTTCCCTGGATGTCCAGCAGTACCAATGTAGAGTGCTACATCTATGGAAATCCACCAGGAACTTCATGATTTACCTTGCGTTGGACAGGAGGTGTTTCTGCCGACAGTTCGTGAAATCCTGTACCTTCTGTGAGTCAGAGCTCGGTATGAGACCATGATGCCATCATCCCCACCAATAACAGGCTGGTAGTCAAACTGCAGACCTTAACAGGTGGCAAAGCCTCTCTGAGGTCTTCATCCAATGTGAGGTCAGTGCAACCAGCCTGTAGCTGCTGAGGTCCTTCAGGTGTGAGGTTTTTGCCACTGGTGCCACATTTAGGCCTTTTCCAATGGCACTACTCGCCGTGATTCAGATAGGTGGGGCTCAGTTTGACAACCATTTCCAAAAGCCCTGTTCTGTATTTTCGTTGGGCTTCCTTGTGGTTCCAAGTGTGCTGACCTGGTCGGTCACTGATTGGCTACAAGTTGGAGTCATGGTTGCTCCAGAGCTCTCTGGCTGGTGCCTGCAGCCATTGCCTGGTTCAGTGTGTGACACTAAGCTGAAGACTGAGCAGAATGTTCGACATCACTGGCGTTTTTGTGCTGCGCTGTGCTTCTGTGTAGACAAAGTCACACTGTTCACTGATCACCTTATGCTATTTTTGTTCTTGAGAACAGCCTGACCCCCTCATCTTTCCTTACATCTCTTCTTGGCTCCATTGGCCTGGAGCAGATGAAAACTGTTGATGTTTACAGGAATGTCCAAAGTTAGTTCTGTCAGCCATATCTAGAATAAGCAGACTACTCTATGGAGAGCCACTGATATTTTGCTAGCCACATCTGCTTTGCTGTGAAGAGATCTCACGTTTCCCATGATCATGGACAAGATGGTTAGGTCTTTATCTTTTCCACCATTCCTGGCGTCTTATACTGGCTTGTGTATGACTTCTTCTCTTCTAGGGCATATTGGCTAGTTTGGTGGGGAAGGCCCTGGCTATGAGGTGCTAACAGCGGATCTTAAGTGCCTCACACCATCGCTGCACACACATGCCATTAAAAAAGAAATAAAAAGGCGACTGGGTTTCTCTTCCAGAAAGTACCATACTTGAACTAAGCTCAGACGTTCTGTACGTGCTCTCAGCAGTTAGCTTTGGGTTGCCAGGTGTTTCAAGCTGATATAAAGCCAGAATTTATTTTATAAAAACTAATAGGAAGAGAGATTTTTCCATCCTAGTGTGACGAGGGGAGGAGGGGTTTGAAGTCATTTACTCGACTACCTGTAATTGGACAGGGATGCGATTCTGACCGTTAATAAAGCAAGGAACAGATAAAAACAAGCTCATTCTATTAAGGAGGGCAGGAGGCATGGTTCCAACAATGATTTTACTATTTATTAATCAAATAGAAACAAGATCTAATTAAGATCCCCAGCTACGTGTGGACAGGGCCTCAGTCAGGCAAACCTGGCACCAGGAGAAAACCCGCCATGTCTCCTAAACACATGCATGTAAGGCCAGACTAGCTGATGGAAGCTGGAAGCTGCATCATCAGCCAGAGCACCTTCTGCTGGTTGAGTAGGTGCAGGAGTCCATCCTGCTACCTTGTGGCACCACAAAAATAGATTTTTGTGTTTGCTGTCACAGCCCAGCTTGAGCACGGATACTCACGGCTGTTTGAATTTACTCTGAAGTGGACGAGTCGGAGCCACATCGCCTGGAGCAAGTCTGCTCAGAGTTCACTGACAGACCTGCAGCTTGTTGAGCCTATTTTCCTCAACAGACCCCTTGTTGTGGAATCCAAACAAAAAAATTCAGAAAAAAACTGAAATGCAAAAAGTAGCCGTGTGCTGTCCTCTGGTTAACCACGTTTATTTGTCTTCCTCCAGGGGCTTGTGTGGTGCGGGATGCTTCTGGGAATATTACCGACTTCATGACTGGAAACATTACTGACGGCTGTGTGGGACTGGCATGTAATATGGGCTGGAACTTCACGAGCTGCAGCCAGTCACGGACCTGTAATTATGGTCTAGCCAACAACGTACAGGTTGTGACCGATTTGGGTTTAAAAGCCAAAGTGTTAAAATGGTTATTTCAACACGTCGGGTCCGTTTGGTGAGTTTTAAATAAGGAATGTTCCATCCAGGTAATATCACAGCTGTCTGGGGTCTACTACCTCATCACGGTCGGAGTCTTTGCAGCCAGCTTGTCTTCTGCCCTTGGATTTTTCGTCTCTGCACCAAAAATGTTTCAGGTAAGAAATCATAACAGTGTCATACATCCTTCATCAAACTATTGATCGGCTCCTTCGAAGGGGTGATGGGCTCCCATGGAAGCCATCAACTTTAAACTGAAGTACTAAATTACATTATTTAAGTGGACTCGGCGTACCGGCACCCATCTTGAGTGGAAAAGATGTAGAGTGCTTATTTTTCACACATTCCAGGCAGCTCCTTCCTGTGCACGGCCACACCACTCTCAAAGTGGTGCCACCCAAAAATCATAATTAATACACGATTGTTCATGTCCGCCCATATTCTCTGGTGCTTTCTATCTTATTTGTGCCTGACACGCTCCGATGAAGCCCAGGAATGGTAGAAAACTCCTGCTGAACTTCCCATTTAAAACAGGTCAGGGTCAAAAAGCCAATGTACTGCTCACTGGCAAATCCCGTGTTGACCTGAATATAGGACGAGGTTATTTCCATTGAAAATTATTTTAAAATGTGCGGTCATCTTATAATCGGGGTCTAAGCATTTACACATGCCGATATTTCTCTGGGGTCATTACACGCCCGTAAAAGCAGAGGGCGCCAGGCTGTACGTTCTCAACAGGAGAATAGAATAGAATAGAGACAAGAGCTCCGGAGCAGAGTGGACCAAAAGTGGGGCAAGTTAACTAGCTATAATATCTATCAATCAATCAATACTTTATTAATCCCAGAGGGAAATTAGAGTTTCAGTACTCACAATTCAGAGATCAGACATACATGGGCAAGACACATGACAAGGATTGGTGACTGTGGTCATTCGCAACCCGAGTTGCGCTACCTTAATAGAGATAAGAGGGTTACATGAGGATTGGTTCAGGTGGAGGGAAAAAAAGGCACTTCAGAGTTACCCTAAACAGGGAGGGCAGCTTTGCTCTGCCAAAAAACACCTCAAACATATATGCAACAGACTTCAGACAACACAACATAACATGAGACTCCAATAGGAAGGCGTGGGGTGGGGGGTGGGGGGGCTGGGATCCTGTTTCCCCCAGCGAGAGCAGCCATCTGGTGCTCATCTACTGTACAGTCACAGGTGGGAGGGAGATCTTGGGAGTAGCAAAGAGCACATTGACTCCTCCAGCTGATGACCTCGCCAGGCTGAAGTCCACCAATCTGAAGGCGGGGGGAGGGGGGGGGGTAGGTCGGGTTCTCACAGCATCTGTCTGCATTCCTTCGTGGGGGTTTTAGTTGCTTGCCGCTCAAGGCTGCCAGGGCGTCAGATTCAGATAACAAGACTTTGTTTGGGTCAGGCTGAGATCATTTTCCTCTCTGCCTTCAGTCTTTAAACTGATCATTTCCAGTCCTTCAGTGAAGCCAATTTTGGGTTTTTAAACCTGTCCATACCGTCCGGTGACCCTCTCCGAGATGACATCCATTTTGCGCACTAATACCGGTATCGCAGCTAGAACATTGTCCAGCTTACGACTCACCTCGAGTAACGTCCCAGTCTGAGAAGTCTCCACACAGACGGTGCTTTCCGTGGGTGCGGGTCGCCCTCCAATCGCTCCTGTCTTCCCAAATTTCCAGAAAACCAGATATCCTCCCACTCCAATCAGTAGAAATCCAGTGATCATCAGGCCGAATATCCACACGCCTTCGATGTCCTCAATGGACAACTGGGATCGGCATATGATCTTTCACTCCTTCCAGGAATCCAGCATATATCCCACCGGGTGTGTCCCCTGTGGACATGTGGGAGCCCCCTGCTCCGTTCTCATTGTTGACAAAAATCTTATCGATCACGTTGAATGACCAGTTTATCAAATCCATGGTTATTAAAAATAGTTTTTCAGAAGAAATGCAGAGAAGCGCTCTGTGGGCAGACAGGACAAAGAGCCTTGGGGAAAAAAAGATAAGGGAGCAAAAGAGAGAAGCGTCTGTACTCCTCGAGTGCCTTGAAGAAAAAAAATAATACAAAAAAAATAAGTAAATAAATAACATGAGGCTGAGTTATGCAAATTGTAAGATGACGGTGGTCGATTCAGCAGAGGCATCAAACATTGCATGCATGGATGCCTTGGATGGCAGTGAGGATGACGTTCTGGGAGGAGTTGCAGGTGTAGGGATCTGATGGTACACCGGGGCCGCAGCAGCATGAGTGAGAATGGCCTGTATTTGATATAGCGCCTTCTAGAGTCCTGGAACCCCCCAAGGCGCTTTACAACACAGTCAGTCATTCACCCATTCACACACACATTCACATGCTGGTGGGGATGAGCTACGATGTAGCCACAGCTGCCCTGGGGCGCACTGACAGAGGCGAGGCTGCCGAGCACTGGCGCCACCGGTCCCTCCGACCACCACCAGCAGGCAAGGTGGGTTAAGTGTCTTGCCCAAGGACACAACGACAGCGACAGACTGAGCGGGGCTCGAACCTGCAACCTTCCGATTACGGGGCGAACACTTAACTCCTGTGCCACCGTCGCCCCAATGAGAGTGATTAAGCACAGCGAGGCAGAGGATGTCTGAATAAAAGCCTCATTTGACTTTTGATTTCAGCAAAGTCCCGATAGTTTGCATTAAAATAGTATTTATTCTTTTTCAATAAAAACTGTTTATTTAGAAAGTGATTTTTTTTATTTGGGACAATACGGTCCTTCACAGTCTTTTGGACTGCAGATAACTTCATTTGGCTGACATCCCTCGTCCCCGATAAGGAATACCAGACCCCTAAACAGGGCTGCTGGTATTTAAAGGCAAATAATCAAACATTCACATTCAAACAGTAGTTTAGTTTTCAGTCCTTGGTTGCTACACACTTTTTAATGCCTGCTTTTGTACGGCTCCAGGCATAACAATCAGGACGAAAGCCCATCGTCAGTGACCAGTAGTCACTGATTAGCTATAGGATGGAGGCGCTGGTTGCTGTGGTTATCTACCTGCTGATAAAAAGTCAGTGACTCAGCAGATTGTTCAACATCACCGCAATGTCAGCCGTTGTTGTGATTTTCAGTCACATACAGGTCATCGGGCGCTTCTCTGGTGTAGGGTGTTGTAGTAAATCTATTGTCTCCTAGAGAAAAATTGATTTACAGCACATGGGCAATATTACACAAACAAGAAACATCTTCATATCTGGGATTAGTAAGAAGAAGACACGATCTTTTATAAAGTGCCTCTCAAGATAAAAATCACGATGCGCTTCACAAGAACAAATGATTAAAAATATAAATATTTAAAAAATTTGTTTAAAAATCATAAAAATGGGAAAAGTAAAAATTATGATGAAAATATGTTAGGAAATGGAAAAGGAAAATGAATAACCGTTATCAGAGAATTCCAGGAAAGGCAGAATGGGTAGAAAGAGGAGAATGAGAAGAAGGTGTTGATGAAGAATCAACTGAAGGCCACACAAAACCAGTCTGAACAGGTCAGTTTCAGGTGCTTTTTAAAGGAGACCACTGAGCCCACTACCTTTTGCTGGATTGGATCAAAACTGTTCCTTCCTACTCATACTTGGGAGTCATACTGAGCACACAGCCCCACTCCCCATAACCCTGTCTCACACTCCCATCACGATGGCGGACTCATGTCGCTTCCTGGGCACCACCATCACCCAAATCCTCAAGTAGGAGCCCACCATCACCCCCATCATTAAAAAGGGCCCAGCAGAGGAAGTACTTCCTGAGACAGCTGAAGAAATTCAGCGTACCAGCACAGTCGATGAGGCAGTTCCACACCACAGTCATCGAGTCCACCCTCACCTCTTCAATCACCGAGTGGTACGCTGGAGCTACCATCAGGGACAAGTAGAAGCTGCAGCGTGTCATGCGATCTGCTGAGAAAATTGACTGTTAACTCTCCTCCATATACTAGGACCTGTACACCTCCAGGACGTTGAGGCATGCAGGTGGGATGACAGCGGACCCGTGTCAGCCTGAACACAGTCTCTTCGACTCACTACCATCCGGCAGGAGGTTCCGATTCTCGTTCTCTCGCCACAAGAACAGCTTCTTCCCCTCTACTGTTGGACTCATAAAGGACAATCCTTGGGCTGCCCACTCCAGTTGCTTTGTTCTAGTCACATGAGCCTGTGTTGTGTTTGCACCAGAACTGATCCGCTCTGATTAGTACCTACACTGTCTTGTATATAATAGCCATGTCTCAAAGTATTGCCACTTTATATTATTTTATCATTACACTCTTACTTTCTATATTTGCTTCTCCAGTATTTGTATCTTTCTTTTTTGCACCGAGTGCCGCAGCAATTTCCTAATGTTGTAATTTCTGGCAGTAAAACTTTCTGATTCTCATTCTGACAAATGCACCCACTACAGTTGTTGCTCAGTTCTAATGAAAAAACAGCTCAAACTGTGTAGAGTTGGGCTAACATGAGCCAGGATTGGCCGTGGTCAGTAATGGAAAGATTACACAAGTAAGGGAAACATAGCAGGAAGACTAAAAGGACCTTGATGTTCTGTCCTAGCCGAAGAAGAGGGCTCAGTGGAGACCTGTCACATCTTAACTGCAGCTTCAAGCTGTCGACCATGAGGGTCCTCATTCATCAAGCTGGCTTACGCACAAAACGGGGTCGGAAAACTGCGTAAGCAACTTTCCACGCAAACTTTGGGAGTTATGAAAGAAAACTTTGAGGAAAAATGTGCTCAACTTTAAGTTGACTAAGGACCTGGCTTACACACATGATGGACATGGAGAGCACCTGCAGTGCTGCTGCTGAGAAGATACAATTATGAAATCCTGCAGCATTATCACTTGTACCGCTTCGTTTTCTCACAGAACAAGACCCCCCACACGCACACACACACACACACGTGCACACACACACATGCATGCGCACACACGTGCATGCACACACACATGCGCGCTCGCACACACTGCCTGAAGCGCAGCATACAGAATGCAGAAATCAGCAGGGGGACAGATTGAGACAGAACATCATGCGTCTGTGACAGTGTGTGTCCTGTCACTGTGACCCGATTGATCATGCGCCCTAGCTACTTGTACAAGGCAGGTCTCTGTTTGGGTGACTGGTTAGCGTGCGTGACTTTCACCCGGGAGTCTGGGGATCAAATCCTGATAAATAATGTTTTTTATATCCGCCACAGATCTCTCTGAAGAACTCAGCATTGACGGCTTCAGCAACGCTGTGCCACTCCGTGGATTTTCTCTTATTTGTTTTGCAAAAGCACTTCCTTTCATTTCTCCACCTCACCCACAGATACCTCAACTTCTGCTTCTGTGAAATAGCGCTTCATTGATCTGCGATCTTGATCGAAATGCTGCAACAAGCCGGCTTATGTACATGCATGAGGTCCACAGGGCACTTTGCATGGACTATTTATGGCAGTAAGTGGGCGTGGTGAGGGTGGGATGTGACTAAAATGCAGCTGAGAAACATTCTCGTCAGTCTCCGATTTATGAAGCGGAGATTGCGTGCAGCTGGGCGTACTCCATGTTTGATAGATCACAAACCTACTTGTTGTAAGTAAAAAAAAAATTGGCTGAGCTTCGGTACGGTTTTAGTGAGGATTCTACACAATGTTCAATAAATGAGACCCCAGATCATCTTCTCAGTATGCTAGGTGTACCTTTAGGTGTTTCAAAAGATGGGTCTGGTTTCTGGAGGAAATGGGTCAAACCAGAGAAGAGTTGATGGTTGCTTCATCACATCAGGTCTGGCACAAATGGGCACACTCATCCTATCCTTAGCATCCATCAGGACGTGCAGCAGAGGCAGTAGAATATTCTTCATGGATCGTTTAATCAGAGGAAAATGTGTTTTTTGTATTCACCAAAACGACAACGATTAATGAATAATGATTACATCTACGGTATCACATTTAACACGACTGTTGTCTTGTTTTTCAGTGTCTGTGCAGTGACAAAATATACCCGTACATCATATTCTTTGCAAAGGGTTATGGGAAAAATGATGAGCCATTCCGATCCTATGCTCTCTGCTACATCATCTCTGTGGGCTTCATTCTGATTGGTGCGTGTGATAAAGCGTTAATTTCCATAATGTTTTTATTCTTGTCAGAATGTGACTATTTTTTAAATTTACTTTTTATGTTCTGAACATTTTCTAACTGTTTGTTTCTTTGTTTCATCACAGCCCAATTAGATGTGATTGCACTCCTGATCTCCAACTTCTTTTTGTGTGTCTATGGTCTCATAAACTTCAGCTGCTTTCATGCTTCTATGATCAATTCCCCTGGTGAGTTATTTATGTGCCTATTAACCTTCAAAAGTGCCACTTACAATTTAATTTACCACAAAAATAGGAAATAACCATCGGTATTTATTCTTATCACTGTAAAATTTAGCTGTTGTGGTTAGGGATGTCCCAATTCAACTTTTTCACTTCCGATACGATACCGATACTGCAGCCTACAATACTGAACAATACCGATATCAATCTGAAATGACATCAGCACAGACCATACATACTTTTACCATTTTTGTAGTGTGGAATGTATGAAAGGCTTGATCAAGTGATATTACTCAATCGCAGAACAAGAGCCAATAACAGTAAGTATGAAAAAAAGACATTTTTTCCTTAACCATTTGTTGCAAAAGTGTGAACCTTAACGGACTGCTTGTGCTGGAAATTTGTGATGCCGTCCGATTTAATCCGATAAAGTGTTTTTGAGCCAATATCAAAATAGTTCCAATATAGATATCGGAACGGGATATCCCTAGTTGTGTTATAATTTTTTTTTTTGAAGATTTAGGTTTTTTTGTGATCTTCTCCCAGAAAATGTAGACCCATTTATTTATAAAGGTTTTCTTTTGTAAATAATCTGAAGAAAATGTGCATTGTAAGGATATTTGTTGGTCACATGACAGAATGTAGTCCAGGGGGAGATTTTTATGTGGGGGTTTATTCGTAAAATTCTGAGTATATATTTTATTCTAAAGATTGGTGTAAATTATTTCACCGTTGGCAGAAAGTATAAAGATTCAGCAAAGCAGGAAGCACATAGGAGAAGTTTTTCAAAACGACTAAGGCTCTGGGTTGTATTCATTGTAAGCTGCTGGTTAGGTAGATGGTTCAACTCTTTGACCAGGGCACAAAAATGAATGAAAAAAATTAGAAGGTAAATTATATTTCTCTCATTTTCAACCTACAGTTCTTTTTTCCTTTTTTTTTTTTTTGTTGTTGATGTTTTTCAGGGTGGAGGCCGGCATTTCGCTTCTACAGCAAATGGACATCTCTGTTTGGGGCCGTAGTATGTCTAGTTCTAATGTTCCTGTTCACTTGGTGGTCTGCTCTTATCACGGTGATTATCATCATCTTCCTCTATGGATACGTCGTCTACACCAAACCAAGTGAGTCCACAAACAGGAAACAATCAGGAGAACTGAATTACATTTAGGTAAAGACATGGTTTAAGCCCGGATCGCACTGCTCATGTCGCATCATGAGGACTCCATCGGTTGCACACTGTGTGGTCCAAGATGTCAGTAAGCCAAACTGCACGTCTCACTCTAGAAGGACGAGCGAACATCATGAACACATTCCTGGAGAGCAGACGTCACTGAAATGAGAAAAGGCACTGCTTCCTTTATTTGCCTTTGAACCAAACTCCAAAAGCGAGTGGTCCACTGTTGCTAATGTTGCTAATGCTACTCTTGTACTTTCATCACTAGCTGTTTGCATTGCTCCCTGGCTGTATTTTCATTGGTGGATAGTAGATAGGAGTCGTAGGTGCTTGATAACTGTTGTAGGCTGACTTTGGTTGTGAGGGTGCTCAATGAGCTGTTGCAGAGCGGGTCAAACTGGACAGCCGCAGACTTTCAATTCACCCTCATGTCCATTTGTTGACGATATACCGTATGTGCTTATGGAAGTGCTCTAGAGCTGCTTACATTATGAGGCGCAGAGATTTGTAACAATGGCAAGCAATGGGTGAAATAAAAGTGGTCCTCAGATCACTTTTTGTAATTGTGCAGCACTTTGGTGGCATGCCTCATGCCTGTAAGGGGCTCTATTAATAAAGATGATGATGATATTAATCCTTAACAAAGTGGGAGGGTTAAAAGAATGTTTTTCAGTGTTCCACACTTTTAACAAGGTCAGATGGGCCACAGGTGCGTTATTATTTTTTCCATTCGTCCATCCAGCCGCGAGGTCAGCAGCATAAGTCGAGAGGCCCAGACTTCCCTCTCCCAGCCACTTGGGTCAGCTCTTCCGGGGGAATCAGAAGACATTCCCTAACCAGGTGAAAGACAAAGTCCCTCCAACGTGTCCTGGGTCTCCCTTTAGACCTCCTTCTGGTTAGACATGCCCAGAAAATCTCACCAGTGAGGCATCCTATTCAGATGCCCGAGCCACGTCAACTGGCTCCCCTTGATGTGAAGGAGCAGCAGGTCTACTCCGAGCCCCTATCTTTAAGAGAGAGCCCAGCCACCCTGCGGTGAAAACAAATTTTGGCCGCTTGTATTTGCAATATCCTTCTTTCGGTCACTACCCAAAGCCCGTGACCATAGGTAAGGGTAGGAACGTAGATCGACCGGTAAATCTAGAGCTTCATCTTCTGACTCAGCTCTCTCTCCACCAAGACAGACCGGTACAACGCCTGCATCACTGCAGATGCAGCACCAATCCACCTATCGAACTCGTGCTCCAGCCTTCCCTCACTCATGAACAAGACCCCAAGATACTTAAACTCCTCCACCTGGGGCAGGACCTCATCCCTGACCCAGAGAAGGCATTCTACCCTTTACCGAATCAAGACCATGGTCTAAGATTTAGAGGAGCTGATTCTCATCCCAGCTGCTTCACACTCAACTGTGAACCGCTCCAGTGAATGCCAAAGATCACACTCTAATGAAGCCAACAGGACCACATCATCTGCAAAAAGCAGAGACTTCATCCTTAGGCCACCAAAACAGATCCGCTCCACACCTTGGCTGTGCCTAGAAATCCTGTCCATAAAGGTTATGAACAGAATCGGTGACAAAGAGCAGCCTTGGCAGAGTCCAACTCTCACTGGGAATGAGCCCGACTTACTGCCGGCAACACGAACCAAGCTCTGACACCGGTCATTTAAGGACCTAACAGCTGTATCAGAGGGCCTGGTACTCCATACTCCCGGAGTACCCCCACAGGGCCCCCCACAGGGCCCCCCAAGGGACGCGGTTTACCCTGGTGAACGAGAGGGTAGCCTCTCACTTGCATGTGGGGATATGGGTCCTGTTGTTTGTGCTTATGTACCAAACTGCAGTTAAGAATACTCACCCTTTTTGGAGACCTTGGAGGGGGTACTAGAGAGTGCCCCTTCCGGCACCTGGATACCTTAGGCCGCAGCTCAATAATCAGCTTTGTTGTCATTTCATCTGATCTGCAGCCTCATGTGTTGACACTCAGGTGAAGAGAGGGGCAGAGCTGTCAGCGGACCACTACCTGGTGGTGGGTTGGCTCCGATGGTGGGGGACGATGCCGATCAGACCTTGCAGGCCTAAATGTATTGTGAGTGTCTGCTGGGAATGTCAGGCCGAGTCTCCTGTCAGAAGGAGCTTTAATTCCCACTTCCAACAGTGTTAGGGATTTTATCAATATATTTGATCAATAAACCCATTTCCTTCAGCTAGAGAGAGAAAAGGAGAAATTAGGCAGACATACAACCAAATCATGATTTGTGGCAAGTGCACAGGGCAAATGCCCCGAACATCTGGTCACAGAGTTTATCTATACAAAGAGATAAGAAAGGAGTGGGAGTGGATGATGTGTGAGAGAGAGAGTGAGTGAGTGTGTGCGCGTGCGTGCATGTGTGTGTGTGTGTGTGAGTGTGTGTGAATGATTTCAGGACATTCAGTTAATAGATTTGTTAATGGGACTAAAGTAATGAAATATAAAATTTCCATAACAGACAGAACTTCCAAAATGTTCCAGGGGAGGCAGGACACACTGAGTCTGAATGGGCCCTGCTCTATGCCTCCTTTGTTGAGGCGGCCGACCAGAGACCGCAGGGTCATCGGTGCCTGTCGTGACGGCAACCCCCAAACCCGCTGGTGGACAACGGTGGTTAGTGATGCTGTCAAGCTGAAGAAAGAGTCCTATCAGGTCTTTTTGGCTCATGGATCTCCAGAGGCAGCTGATAGGTACCGGCAGTCTAAATGGAATGTGGCTCGGGCGATCACGGAGGTAAAAAAAACTCAGGCGTGGGAGGTGTTCGGAGAAACCGTGGAATGAGACTTCAGTACGGCTTTGAGGAGATTCTGGTCCACCATCTGGCACTTCAGGAGGGGAAACCAACACTTTTTATAGTGGGGACGGTTTGCTGCTGACCTCTACTCAGGACATTGTGGATCGGTGGGCAGAATACTTTGGAGGCCTCCTCAATCCCACCGGCATGTCTTTCAATGAGGAAGCAGAGTCTGGGGACTTTGGGTAGGGCTTTCCAATCTCTGGTGCTGAGGTCACTGAGGTGGTCAAAAAGCCCCTCGGTGGCAAGGCTCCGGGGGTGGAAGAGATCCGGCCAGAGTTCCTTAAGGCTCTGGATTTTGTAGGGCTGTGTTGGCTGAAGTGGCTCTGCAAACTCATGGACATTGGGGTCAGTTCCTCTGGATTGGCAGACTGGGTGGTGGTTCCCTTATTTGTAGTGTTCCAATTACAGGGGGATCACACTCCTGAGCCTTCCTGGTAAGGTCTATTCAGGGGTTTTGGAGAGGAGGGTCTGTGGGATTTTCGAACCCTTGGATTCTGGAGGATCAGTGTGGTTTTTGTCCTGGCGGTGGAACACTAGTGTGTTCTATACCCTTAGGGCGGTCCTGGAGGGTGCGTGAGAGTTTGCCCAACCAATGAATTAGATAAGCCACCAAATAGTTATAACATTTTGTTGCAAGGCTTGTGTACCAGTGTGCCTATAAAAGCTGTTTATTACATTTGTCTTTGGTTTGTCTCATAGAGGTAAATTGGGGTTCATCAATCCAAGCAGAATCATACAACATGGCCTTGTCATACTCTGTCTCACTCACTAGTGTGGAGGATCATGTCAAGAATTTCAGGTAAGACCCATAAAATCTTCATCATACGGTGCATTGATTATCCTAAAATTAAACTCCACAGATGTAGTTTTTGTGTCTGACTTGGAAAATATCTGAATTAATTGGATCATTTTTTCAGTATAGCCAATCTCGCTTGAGAAGATTCAAACCGCTGACCCTTGTGACTGCTTTCTGGTGTGTTCTAATTACTTTTTAGGCCACAGTGTCTTGTCATGACTGGGCCCCCAAAACGACGACCTGCACTGGTGGACTTTGTTTCCTCCTTCACTAAACATGTTAGCCTGATGGTCTGTGGAGATATTATAATGGTATGAGCTTCAGCCAAAGAAAAGCAGCTTAGTTCATTCAGTGGTGTTGTGTTAAATGTGTTTTACATTACTGGTTATGAAAAACACATTCACCTCAAACATTCAGAATCAATTTACTTCATTGTTGAACTTCGACCTTTTCAGGAGGACAGCATTAACCAACTTAGGGATGCTACGCATGTAAACTGGCTGAACAAGAGGAAAGTCCGGTCGTTTTACACTCCTTTTACAGCGAGCAGCCTGCGAGAAGGCACAAAACAGCTGTTGCAGGTACATCCTTTATTTTTACTTGAGGTGTTTTGATTTTTGTGATTTTTAAGCAAGACTCTGGATAGTGGTCTGGAGCTGTTATGTGATTCTCCAGAATGCCAAAGATGGTCAGTCCACCCCTGAATTGACTTCATACACAAACAATCTCTGGTCAGATGGGTAATCTAGTGAGGTAGAACATCGCTTCAGAGTGAACACACATGGCACAGGAGGAGCATGTAGCGCACCTGCGTCATTTTGCGCAGATTTGCAAGACATTACATTCAACAGCCAGCATGCTTGCTTGTTCTTGAAAATCAGTCCTGGCATCCTTTTGAGCTGAACAGAGCACTCATATCACACCACACAAGGTAGGATTGTCTGATAAGATTAGTTTAAGAGCCATTACAGTGATCACGCACCTGAAAAAGATTGTTGGAAAAGGAGCAGCAGGTTAAAATCTGCATGATTGTCCTGCTGTATGAACTGGGCTTAAGCTGAAAGTTGTTCTTTCGGTCACTACCCAAAGCTCATGACCATAGGTGAGGGTAGGAATGTAGATCAACCGGTAAATCGAGAGCTTTACCTTCTGACTCAGCTCTCTCTTCACCACGACAGACCGGTACAACGCCCGCGTCACTGCAGATGCTGCACCAATCCACCTATCGATCTCACGCTCCAGTTTTCCCTCACTCGTGAACAAGACCCCGAGATACCTAAACTCCTCCACTTGGGGCAGGACCTCATCCACATCACACACACACACACACACACACACACACACACACATATATATATGAATTTGTCAAAGTCCAGAGAGCAGTGTGCGATTCCCAGGTCCGAACCAACTGTTCTGCATCAACAAATCTCAGAGGTTGTTGGGCTGTTAGTGCGGTAGAACAATCAGTATTACTCAACATAACAATAAAATGTATCTTTGACTTGTTTTTTCTTATTCCATCATGTATTCAGGCAACGGGCCTTGGGAAGCTGAAACCAAACACTCTGGTTCTGGGCTTCAAATCCAACTGGAAAGAGAGTACTCTTGAAAGTATCGATGATTATATCAACACCATTTTGTAAGTTCGACTAACCAAACAAAAGTGGCGTTTGATGCTATGACCTTAAAACATGTTCAGTTCTTAACTATCAAAGATAGACTGAAAAATAAATCAATAATAAACCTCAAAATTCACAAATAACTTCATTTTTAAAATGAGCTCCCCTTATCTCACTTTTTCTTCAGCGACACATTTGACTCCAAGTTCTGTTTGTGTGTCTTGAGAATGATAGATGGTCTGGACGTCGCTGAAGAATTACAATGTGAAGGTTTGATACAAAAATTTGTTTATTCCAATTTGCTCATAAAATATCAAATTTAACTTGGGCTGGATGTGTCACGTTCATCCCGCAGTGAACCGGGGTTTTGAGCCTGATGAACTGGAGGAAATTTCTGTCCAACCAATAGAGGAGGAGAACACAGGTGAGGAATAAAGGTCTCTTCATATTAGAGAGAACCTTAGTCCAGGTCTGCTCTTGGTGCATTTTGTGTGCACGGTGTGGAACAATTTGTAGAACAAAAGAATTGTAGAAGGAGTTTTTCACACACACACACACACACACACACACACACACACACACACACACACACACACACACACACACACACACACACACGCAATAAACCAAGTAGTGTTTCTATAGCTGTGAACACTGTGATCTCCTAGTCAGGGGCGCAGATAGGATTTTCCAACTGGGGGGACAAAGTTCCAATGTACCCGCCCCCAAACACACGCACACACACACACAAACTATTGCAAGCACCTTAACTAGAGCTCAGTGAGTTTGTGTAATTTCATCCAACGGTTTACGTAAAAACTAACTTTTATATACGTGTTTGAAGCCGTTATGCAGCGGAACGCTGGCAACAAAGCTCTGCCTGATCAGCACTATAAATGATAAATGATCCGCACTTGTATAGCGCCTCTCAGAGTAAGGACTGCAAAGCGCTTTACACTACAGTGTATCATTCATCCATTCACACACTGATGGTGATGAGCTACGATTAGCCACAGCTGCCCTGGGGTGCACTGACAGAGGTGCCCCACTATTTAAATCATTTGAATCATTTGTTATTCTCCCAATCGATTACGAACCAAAACCTCGTGCTTTATGCAAAACATTAAATGATTTTCAGCCTACCAATCTTTACAGAAAACATAAAAGCCCTAAAAAACTACACATTAAATATAATAAGAAACAATATTCACTTATCACTTAGAGCAGTGGTTCCCATCAGCCTGACCAACAGATGTTCCTTCGTATTTTGACGTTATTTAGAAATTTTCATTTTATTTGGAAAGTTTTAATTTATATAAAAATATATAAATCTCTTTTACAATTTTATATTTTACTTTTTTATGATTATGTGGCACACTTGACTTCCATATTTAACACATCGGCATCTGCCTCTTTTTTACGGCTTTTTTTTAAACATTTTATACACAATTTTACATTTGCTGTGTTTCTACCATCGTTTCTACATCCATCACGTCCCAGAGAAGGTTAAACCAACATCAAACCCAACGTCTGGAGCTTGTAAACTCCACACATCTCTCGTGCAGCACCAGCTGTCTGATGCTGCAGCAGCCTCCATCTTCCCGGCTGGATGAGTGAGTTTCTTCATCAGAGTCAATATTCTGCTTCATAATCAGAGTCAGTCATTACCAGACAAAGTGATCAGTCAGCAAAGACCAGACCTGCCGGCAATGATACGTTTTATCTAATATTTACGCTCTTCGTGCTGCACACGTCTCCTCCTCTCCCTGACTGGGAGCCTCTCGGCGGGAGGCGATTTTCAAACTCTAAAAACTCCCAAACTTTGCTCAGCCTGAAGGTTCCACATCTCCACTATCTTCTGGTGTAAAGTAGTAACTTCATGAGGGATCATGTTTGTAGATGAGACTTGTTAAAGTCAGCAATGATGCTTTGGCACTTATAACGAGTAAGTCCAACACTGACAACAACGTACTGAAACTGGAACCAACACGCATAAACAGACAGATCGGTCCCGCCTACTTACACTGTTGGTCTTTTTTAAATACGCAGCAATCGCTGCTTGCCTTTTCCGCTTCATCCTGCATCCTAGCAGCAACCACTTTGGTGCCTCTGGAGTCGATGTTTGTTTACGTCATGCTGCATTCAGTGTAATTGGAAAAAGGATCGGGGTCGATCTGAATCTGGGGGGGACAGATCCCCCCCGTCCCCCACCCTATCTGCGTGCCTGCTCCTAGAAGATGTCCTATTTTATAAGAGATAAACTTTATTGTATTTATCCTAGTGGATCTATAATCAAACGGGTAAACTAGTAGTAGCACTTTCAACGTCAAAGAAAGCAAAAGGTTATTATCAGGAGAGAGAGAATGTATTAGTGGTTAGCAGCCATAGGCGTCATTTTAACCGGGGACGCCGGGGACATGTCCCCGGCAAAATTTGTGATTGGCAGCTGTGTCCCCCCCACTTTCAAAAAAGCCTGCTGATGAGGATTTTTGTTTTACCAGCTCAGATCTTATACCAGGGGTCGGCAACCTGTTCCCATCAAAGAGCCATTATTACCCGTTTCCCACAGTAAAGAAAACACCGCAGCAGCCGCAGCGTTGTGGGCGGGGCCTACCCTCACACAGCAGAGAGCTGCTCACAACCAGGTGACAGCAGCAGGTACCGGTCGCTCGCATGGGCGTCGCACCCGTGCGGGATTCAACACCCACACTTTTCCAGCTGTTTTGCTCACCTCCACACCAGTCTGGTTTCTTTACGTCGCACTCACTCGGTTTGCCTCCTCTTCTTCTTCACTTCCCTCTTCTGACAGCCGATGTCAGGTTTCCAGAGAGCAGGAGAGGGAGGGACGGAGAGCTCGACTGAATTCATAATTTTACATCTTGACATTAGCTGTACAAAGTCTGAGTTTGATAAAGTGAAGAAAAACAATTTGCAGAGGTTTATAACAGGCGCGGTGCCAGGTTTTCACATTTGGGTGGGCCACGGTAATTTTGGACGGACCTTAATAAGCAGTGACTTAAGTGAAGCAGGCAGGTCGCGCTAGAAAATGTCGTTTAAAAAGACGTCATAAATGTGTTCCCCCGTCATTTTTATTTGTAAAATATGAAGTAAAAACTCCCAATTTAATTTTCATTCATTTGTCATTAACATGTAGTCTACACCCGTGCGTTAAGTGGACCATCTTCCAGTAAACGCAAAGCATCCAGCCCATCTCTCCAAATGCGTAAAATGTGCACCACAGCCGTTAGGCGCACCGCGCGCACCGTCAGCTACGTCAGCCCAGACAAGAGCAGAGCAAATAGAGAAAGAATAGAGGATTATTCTGTCTGGATGTGGATTGAGATTAGATTTTACAGCAGCCTGATCATCATTTAAATAAAACCATCACCTGTCTTCTAGTCCACGCTATCAGCATTATTTTAATTGGTGTGTGTGTGTGTGTGTGTGTGTGTGTGTGTGTGTGTGTGTGTGTGTGTGTGTGTGTTTTCCACTTCAAACACTGGTCTAACCAACCAGACCAGCGTGTCCAGTAACACATTAATGTTACAATTAAACAGTTTCACTTCATGTAGGCTGGGAACATTTCAGCTGCCGTGGCCCGACCGCTTCTGCTCCACATAAACTTTGTGCGTAATCAAATGTCTCTACAGGTGCTTTCTGAGCTGAAGAGGCTATTCTGCCTCAGACTGGATGCGTCATGCGTCTCCATATTAGAGACGGGAAAAAGCGCTGTTCAGCCAAAGTTGAATAATTTCATAAAAAGAACATTTTCAAAGCTCATCCATGCGCATCAGTGTGCGTTGGGGTAATTCTTTCAAAACAGCCAGCATCCTTGAGTTTATCCATCAAAATACAGTCAAATGGAAATATCTGTAACCTGCCATTTAACTGTTTTGCCTTCTTGTGAAGATTGTTGCAAAGAGAAACAACTAAACTTGATTAACCCCAGAGCCACGCGCACTGCGCTGTACGTCGTGACTGTAAATGAGGGGAAAACGATTTAATCGGATCCTTTTCTTTTCAACATGGTTTCATGTAAAGTTTCATTCAGTACAAACTTTAGTTACACCAATCTAACGAGACAGAGCCTGGATTTGTATTCTGAACAGTTTAAACATGTTTAAAACGGAGACATGCGTGACGCGTCTAAAATTCGCACCTGCTCCGCTATTACGGAAATTAAACTAACAAGATGAATAACATGAAATTATTTTAGGCACAGACAACATATCCCACGCGCCTGGTCGCTCGTGTACGTCAAAGTTATCTTTCATAAGAAGATAATCAATAAAACGATTTATATAAAGATGATCCAGAAGTTGTAGCCCGTCTCTGCCTACAATATTTAGATATTTTTCACCCTGTTGGTGGTTTTACTGAGCAGGTGCCACTTTTGTCCTACGTTTCTTTTTAAAACATGTTTAGACTGTTCAGAATACAGATCCAGGCTCTCAGAACCAGAGCGCATGTGAGAAGGTTCCTCCCACTGAAGCGAGTGTTTTCCAAACCCGGTCTCTCAGAGAGACTTGTCACTTAGAAAATGTTCCCTGATTATGAAACTTTGGCTGAATAGCGCTTGTTCCTGTCTCCAATGTGGCGACGCATCCAGGAGCCGTCTGAGGAGAATCCCAGAATCTGACATCCTCCAGCTCAGGAAGCGCATATGATTACGCACAAGCGTGACGCGTCAACCCGGTCTCACAGTAAGACCGGGTTGGACCTGTTCAGGTTTACGCAGACAATCTTTACATTTAGAATTGGCTTACAGATGTAAAATTAATGCAGTAAAATATAAAGCATTTTATTTAAATATCCATTCATTATTTTACAAGCACAGAGAGCCGCATCAGATGGATGAAAGAGCCGCATGCGGCTCCAGAGCCGCCGACCCCTGTGCTAGCCTACTTTATTGTCCCCAGCAATTTTTAAACCCCACTCAAGTGTATGGTTATTGTCCCCAGCAATTCTGAAAACAAACTGATGCCCTTGTTAGCAGCAGTGTGCTAGACGATGGCCCCCTCCAGGAGGCCACCACAGCTCAGCAGAACATCGTTGTAGCTTCTTCTGGGGAGAAAAACACTTAGAGAGAAAATAAAGTTAACAGCTGAAATAGCAGGAAGTAATACAGTTAAAGAGCAGATTGTAGAAGAAAGCAGTAGAGTGTGGAAAGTGGTCAGTGTGTCCTCCAGTAGTCTAAGCCTATAGCAGCATAACTACAGAGATAACTCTTGGATAACCTAGCCTTTTATGTCGCTTACACATTAGTGTCGGCACGGGCCCATACGGTACCAAACGGCACTGGAATTTGGTTCCACACACAGGTCAGATTTGCGTTTTCGGTGCTGAGGCAACTCTTTTTCTCAGACTTTCTCCCCAGCGGTCAGACTGGGACCGAGGCAACACTACGGACCGACTGGCCGGCTGAAATTATGCCTACCAGGTTTCGTGCATGCGCTATTCATTTTCATGCTGGATGCTGTTGAGTGAACTTCTGTCTGTAGCAAGGAGCTGCCTTGTGGGAACGGGAGAAATTAATATGTGTGTGTGTGTGTGTGTGTGTGTGTGTGTGTGTGTGTGTGTGTGTGTGTGTGTGTGTGTGTGTGTGTTCGGCACATGATCATGAGGACACACTGCAAATCAATAAAATAACGTGGTTCAGAGTCTCCAGAAGCAACACAGCTCACGTCCGTCTTTTGTTGACTTTATGGAGCGGACTTTCTCGCGCGTATTAAGTGCCGCCCACAGACTCGGGGATTCCTGCATTCCTGAGATGTCCCTCGGATTTATATGTGATCAGTACACTTCCCGTGCCAGCCCAAACTCACGACATCCAGCCCGACCAAACCCCGACCGTGCCCACGCTAACGTGGAAGTGCCATTAGATGGAGGCACGTGGGAGGCAGAACCAGAATCAACTGCCTTGACCGCTGTACACTACTCCTCCCTCAACCCCCCCCCCCCCCCCCCCCCCCATCCAAACCTGGGCTAACATCACTCTGAATTAACAATAAGTTCTTTCAAATACAAAAAACTTGTAGCCAAGTCTTAAAAGTAGACAAGCTGTCTGCCTTATGGACTAAAGGTTGCAGGGTTGTTCCCCACCAGCTCTGTCGCTGTTGCTGTGTCCTTGATCAAGACGATTAACCAACATTACCTGCTGGTGGTGGTCAGAGGGACTGGCGCTTCCAGTGTATGGCAGACTTGCTTCTGTCAGAGAGCTCCGAGGCAAAGGTGGTTTCAATGTCCGCCACCAACGTAAATGGTCTGTATTTGATATAGCGCCTTCTAGAGTCCTGGAACCCCCCAAGGCGCTTTACAACACAATCAGTCATTCACCCATTCACACACACATTCACACACTGGTGGTGATGAGCTACGATGTAGCCACAGCTGCCCTGGGGCGCACTGACAGAGGCGAGGCTGCCGAGCACTGGCGCCGCCGGTCCCTCCGACCACCACCAGCAGGCAACGTGAGTTAAGTGTCTTGCCCAAGGACACAACGACAGCAACAGACTGAGCGGGACTCGAACCTGCAACCTTCCAATTGCGGGGCGAGCACTTAACTCCTGTGCCACCGTCGCCGTGTGAATGTCACGATAAAAACCTACAAATGAAACGACGATAAGAGCAGCTAGAGGAGCTCAGACGTCCGTGAAGGACTCAGAGAAGAAATGCATAATTAACCTATAGGCTTTAATCACACTGTGGCAGGACATTTGGGATTTTAAACTAGGAATTGTGTAAAGATTTAGATCAGTTGGACACAAATAAATAACGTAGGATCTCAGCGGTTCATTATTTTCTTAAGATTTTGATGTCAATAATAATCACGAAATGTCACGATTATCACTCGCCCAATCCCCTGCTTTGACGTCATTTTCCCGCGAAATGTAGTTCTTTGTAGTCCCAGTCTTTCTGCTTTTTCTTGTGCTTTTTCGCAATAATACGTTTAGACAAACACATCCTACACACATCACACACTCACTTCAAACTCCTGACACACACTCACACACCACTTCGAACGTTTTGATGACTCACAGACCCGCCAAACGGTACATCTTCCCTCCACGAAGCAGTTGACGCCATTACAGCGCCAGAGGATGTTTAAGTTTCACTTCCTGTTTCCTCACGTATAAATTTATGCAATATTCATTATTATTGTTATTATTGTCAGTGAGAAAAAAGGAAATCTATATACTACTAAAGAATTAGCTCCAAATATTCAACATTATTATATTAGACTCTTGCAGATTATTATTATTCATGTTTTTGTTAGTTTATATAAATGAGTGTATCTCAGAAACTATTTTATGGAAGCACTTCAAATAAATGTGTGGTTGTTTGAAAGGGTTGTGTGAAACTTTTTTCCAATGACAATTTTGAGGGATAAAGCTGCGGCATTTCTGTATAGTGAAAAATATGTATAAAAACAAAAAAACGATTTTAAATTTCTGTATAGATAATTGCATTTTTTAATAAAATATTTTGTTGCTATGAACCCTTTACATTCATACAATCAAAACTTAGACTGTAAGGGTTGTATTGATGTATAGAAAGTTGAAATACTCCAAAAAATGGCACCACAGAATGTAAAAATGTAAATACAAGTTCTGGCGAACTTCTTCTATGGCGCGTCTTAAAGGGTTAAACAGTCTAAACTCGGCACCGCTTGTGTTGCTGTTCTTGGTGCAGCAGATCATCCCAGAGTGTTTGGATGTGTGCCAGATTAGATCAAAGAGCAGTTTACCAGGGTTGTGAGTGTAAACACACAGCTCATAGGGGATGTCCTTTGCTGGTGTTTGTAGCCGATGACGTGTCTGATGAAGACGACAGTGATCCGATCAGGACGGTGTTTCAAAATAGCCAGGGGAAGAAAACCATTGATGTCTACTGGATAGCAGATGATGGAGGTGAGTCCAAAACACTCCGCATTGCCTCCCTCCATAGACCCTGTTTTCATAACACCCAGTTAACCATATTTTTATTTAATCTGTCTCTGATCAGGTCTGACGTTACTCATACCATACCTGTTCACAAGGAGAAGACGATGGCGCAAATGTAAAGTCAGAGTTTTCATCATGGGACAGGAGGAGACTGTGAAAGAGAGCCGTGATAAGTAGGCCTTTGTTTCCTCAAGAATGTAACCAAATTTTGCTGTTTGACTTTTAAGAAGAAAAAAAAAACCACAGAATGGTAATTTCCCTCTTTATGACATCATAACAGATAACATAAAAATTAGTTCCAAAATAGCATGGCCTTAAAACGTCTGCTGACTCTTAACTGATGCTGAAGGAACACATTAGAAACAGAACATTTGGGGATTTAAAAAAAATTTTTTTATTGAACCAAGACTAAAGGGAAATTCCCCTCTTTGGTCACAGTATTGATGGGGGGCCAGGTAGCTTGGTGTCATTGTGGGGCTTCAGGACAGGTTGGGGTGGCTCATTGTTGGCTAGCGTGGACCGATGTGGGTCTGCAACTTCAGGAGAGCGTTTCAGTAGCAGTTTGGATTCTCACTTGGCAGGCGGTGGTGCATGTAAATGTGTACTGTCGCGTCAAACCAGAGCTTTTAATTTCTTCAGTTTGGCCTGACACTGTTCAAATCAAGGGACAGACAAAGTCAAAACACACATAATTTTCTATAATTTAAATTAAAGTACAACATATGTGTGATTCAGAATGTAAGGCAAAGTGGACAGAAAGTAACTTTAGAGGCCAGTTCACTTACATGAATTGTTTCTCTGTTCTGGGGACTCATGAGCCGACTGGAAGGGGAGGAGGCTAACCCCTACTGCTTCAAATAGAATCCATTATAGTCTATAGAGCATCACAAACCAGCCTCAAAGTGACAATTTTCTGATGCGTCCCAGAGGCTGAAGATAGGATCAGGTTCTACTTTTTCTGTGAGCTGCTTCTGGGACACATCAATGGCCACAGTTAACATAGGGCTAGACAGGAAACCACACAAGGTTTCAGTGTAAAATCCTTGGTTATCTTCAAAATAAAAGTATTGCAGGATGATATTTCATATAAATGAAACTTAGGTGTGACCTAATGGCTTATTTACTCACAGCATTGTTCCAGAAGTGCAGTGGTGTGTTTTCGATGGCTTTAATCCTGGTGGTGGATAGGAACAACACCATATATGACATCATACAGCAATATCAAATGTGGTTTAATGGCAGATTGCATAAACACACCGTAACCTTTGAAGTCTTGAGGGATTTTGTGATCTCGTGAGTCGAGCGAGGAGCACAGCAGAGAAGCCGCTTCGCTCTTGAGACTCTCCCGGTGTGCACTTGAGCGCTGCCGTTCCGCGCCGCTTTTGCTTCCAGTGTGCATCAGGCGTTAGGATGCCTATCCTCTTTAACATTGCAAACAAAATCACCAGAAAAGTGCAAAATAATTCAGCATTTTTCAACATGGACTTAATTAATTGGTCATTCAACATGATTGATACGATTTTTTCTACAATGAGGACGGAGGAGGGGGCTCACGCTTGTCCTCAGGGGACACATGCAGCGGGATACATGTTCGATTCCTGGAAAAAGTGGAATGTCATCTGTCTCTCTCAGCTGTCCATTGAGGACATCGAAGATATGTGGATATTTGGCCTGATGATCGTTGGATTTCTTCTGATTGGAGTGGGAGGATATCTGGCTTTCCGTAAAATTAGGATGACGGGAGCGATTGGAGGGCGACCCGCAACCATGGACGGCACCGTCCGTGTGGATACCTCACAGACTGGGACGTTGCTCGAGGTGAATCGCAAGCTAGACAATGTCTTAGCTGCGTTACCGGTGTTAGCTCGCAGGATTGATAACATCTCGGAGAGGGTCACCGGACGGTGTGGAGATGTTTAATCACTGAATTGGCTTCACTGGAGGACTTGAATGATCAATACAGGCTTAAGGCAGAGAGGAAAAATTATCTCTGTCTGACCCAAACAAAGTTTCTGTTATCGAATCTGACGCCATAAGCAGCCTTGGAGTTGCATGCAAAACCCCCACGCTGGAAGGAATGCAGACAAACGCTGTGAATCTCTATCCACCCACCCCCCCGCCTTCAGATTGAGGTCTCCACCGAGGTCACCAAGCTGAAGGACTCACTGCTCTCTGTGCTTCCCCATGACCTCCCTCCCACCTGCGGAGCCAGCTGGTTGAGCGCCACACAGGCCGCCCCTGCTGAGGAACCAGGATCCCAGCCCCTCCCCCTACCTACCGGGTCTCATGTTGTGAACTGTGACGTTTGTTGCTTACATGTCGGGTGTTTTTTTTTTTGCATTGGAGTGCTACACCCTGCTGGTGTAACCCTGTTAATGCCTTTTTTCTCCCTCCCTGAACTTCCTACCTGGTAAGCCAGACTAATTAAATGTATTATTTAGTCTGGCCATGCTCCATTGACGGCTCTCGGTTGTGGGGCGGGTTCTACCGTTGTCTTTCAAATGATCTCCGCATTCCACTGGACGATGAATGTGACATACTCTTGTTTCACTCTGTTGCATCATCCCACCCACCAGGCATATAGAGTGCCCCGATTGGCCCACAAAGCGGATAAAGCTCTGTGATTTGTTCACTAAGCAGATAGAGCACTATGATTGGCCCACCATTATGGACCAATCACAGCTCTTTATGTGTTTGAAACCCCTCTAGAGAGCTGTGATTGGCTAGCCAGAGTCCTGGTAGGAGCTGCTGAGGTTCCAATGGAGCGTGCCTAGACCATTCTTTGCAGAGCAAGAATTTGGTCTAGTTCACTAGGCTATGAACTTCCCTCATGTAACACCCTTTTCATCTATCTATTAAGGTAGTGCGACTCATGTTGCGAATGACCGCAGTCACCAATTCTTATGTGTCTTACCCACGTATGTCTGATCTTTGAATTGTGTGTGCTGAAACTGAATTTCTTTTCTCTGTATGTCCTGCACATGTGGTAGAAGATGACAATAAATGACTTTGAATCTTTGAATCTTTGAAATAATTATTAAATTATTAAACCTGACTTACAGCATCATCAGTGCTGCATCCACTCTGGCTGTAGAACAAATGTATACACCTACAGGAATATCTAGTGTACTGCGCTTTAGAGGGCACTTGTCCACCCCTCCACCCCCCACCCCCACCCCCCACACACACACACAGACACACACTTTTTGTCCCCTGCACCTTTTACCTTCCAAAAACATTATTATGCTACATTAATATGAGAAAGGAGAAAATAAAATTATGAGCTCATCTATTGGCTCGGCTGATACTTGCTTATGTACGATTGGCCGTTCTTGCCACCTGTGTACTTGACAGTCCTGCATTCCTGACATTGCATAAAAGAGACTCTAGGCTGTGGTTTTATACATTGTTTGTACACTTACTATAAGGACCCCCCCCCCCCCCCCCCCCCCCTCAGCCAGCTGTGTCCTCCCCACTTCTAAAGTCAAGACTACGTCCATGTTTAGAGCAGTATGTGGGACCAGTGTGTGCTTGTTGCTGAACCACAAGGAGACTGTTGGTGTCGCAGAGACCTTTTCTTTCTCCTGTAATTACGTGGCACCGATGCAATCTCAGACTTTTTTAAAGGACACCATTGAGGAATTAGGTTGCAAGTGCAAAACTAACTGAAAAACTGTACACTGTAAAAAAATAAATTATGAGTTTCAAAATGACAAAAATGGCTATGACCAAGTTCATTGGGAGATATTAATATTAACAAGTTATCAGATTTATTGGCGAGATATTTTACATCTGTAAGGTGCTATATAAATAAAAATTGAATAGAGTTTGAGATTAAAGTAAACATATATGTTAAACTCTCGGACTCACCAATAACTTAGATTCCATGATTTTAAATTTCTACTTTTATTTTCAGTTGTTTCATTATGAAAATCTATACATCTCTTTATTTACCTAATAACTTTTGTTAAAACAAAAATAACACTCCTTAATTTATTTTCTACTTTTATGTAATCTTTGGAATCACGTGTGGTGGATGAGTGACGCAGCGATGATCAGATACTGAACTTCTGGCTTTTGTGTATTTTAGTATCATTGTTCTGCTGAAAAGGTTCCGACTGGATGTTCATGATGTCATCGTCATGACTGACATGGACAGATGCCCTCTTCCTAAAAGGTAAGTATGGGACACTTTGGTTCTTTTTCAAAGTCACAGCTCACACAGAAACTTTTGAAATTTTTCTAAACTGTTTAATAAAATTAAACATTTTGACACAAACATTTGAAATTGCTAAGTTTACATCAAGTAACACATTTACTGAACTATTGTAAAGGTTTTGCTTTTTAAATATAATATCAGAGTTTTTATTGATGCTTTGTTACGTAGCAGCTATGCTGCAGTGCTAATGCTAGCCTCTATGTCTGCAGAAACTGCACGCAGACATTGGTTTCTGTTGTGTTGACATTAAAGGAGCTTTTTCGTAACTAACAAAATTTGTTCATTCTCGTCGGGAGGCGGCGTGCTGTGCCAGAGCGTCGTTTTCCGACTGCTGCGGGAAAACGGACATTTCACCAAATTCTGACCTTTACCCTCTTTCTATTTAACCTTCCCCTCACCCCATCCTAACCTTAACCTTCTTGCACATGCAAAACTTTGTTTCTAGTTGGAACGTCCCTCTCAAACATGGTTGACGGGAAGTTTAGAATGAGAAACGGGGTTAAGGTTAGGATGGGGGTGAGGGGAAGGTTAAATAGCAAGAGGTTAGAGGTTAAATGTTGGTGAAATGTGCATTTTACCACGGGCGTCGGAAACCAACGCTCTGGCGCAGGGCGTCGCCTCCCGAAGAGTTGGGAGTCCCAATGTGTCGGAAAGACACGCTTCGTCACCCAGTGGCGTTTTTTGACGCTTCGGGTGTGAGAACGTGTTACTACGCGCTCAGCGGGAGGTGGGAGTTAGTCCCACCGATGTCCGTGAGAACTACCGGAAGTCAAGATGAACGGTCCTCTACAAGGACTCGGCTCTCCTTGTCCACTTTGATAGCCAAAACCCATTCAAAAGATTTGATTTGTTCCTGAGCGTCATATCACTAGTTCATTCATTTTGCTCCATCCAGTGAGGTTCCACAAATGTGTTGCCTACCATGGGGCAGAAAAGCAGGATCGTGCAAGTATTTCCTCTTAAAATATGAGGCGCACTTCACCTGCGAGACAAAATATAAAAACAAAAACCAGGAAATTACGTTGCATAATTTTTTAAAGATTATTTTAGCACAATGGTGCAGAAAACAAGCTTTTGGTCAATTACTAAATTTCACTTCACTGTTTTGTAATAAAACCTTGGTTGGAAATGACAGAGGCAAAAGGTCTCCTGTATCAGATCAAATTAAATCAAATCAAACTTTATTTATAAGGCATTCTTCATACAGTTAATGCAGTTAAAAGTGCCTTACAGATTAAAATCACCCCGCATCACATTAATCCACGATGGCGTGTAGTCAGTGTAGTAACCTTTGCTACTGTGGTCCAAGCGCTTTTTAGTTCATTGACTAATTACCGCTGTGCAGTTCTGGACAATTTCTTCATCATTCTCAAGATCATTTGTACCTCACAAGGTGAAAATTTTCAAGGAGCCCCAGGTCAAGAGAGATTGTCAGTGATCTTGTCTTTATCACATTTTCTTATTATTGCGTCAACAGTAAATCTTTTCTCATTAGCTCACCGCAGTCTTATGCAGGTGAGCAATCTTATCTCTGGTGTCCTTAGACCACTCCCTGGTCATGCTTTGATTAGCATGGCCTGCTAGACTTGTCCTCTGTTTAATTCTACTTAGAAAATTAGGCCCAATCTCAACACTCGCACTGGCGCCCTTCATTTGCGCGTTCCCGGCCAGGGGTGCGAGTACGTAGAGTGTCCTGATTCTCAAGTGCGGAAGTTGACCACGCCCCCATTGCACTCTTAATTTTCACTTCACCCAAGTCTGCAGCGATGTGAACCTGAGTCAAGGGTATTACCCACAAGTCATTGCTGCAGGAGAAAAGGCTCAAGTTCCTTTTCTGAAAATGTGTAATAGAATTTGTTCATTTTAGGACGATTAGTTGATGATCTGACTGTTTTAGACAAAGCATCAATGACGTTACATTTATTTCAAATAACTGCTTTGTTGTTTGTTTGAAAGTTGTTAATAAAGGTTTTTGAAGAAAGTTTCACAGTGACCAGCATCCCGGCATGCGTTGCGATCAATGACGTAATGCTCCCTGTCTCAATTCGGCAATTATTTGCACACTTGTATACTACCCACTTTCTCCAAGTGCACTTTGCTGAAGACCGCAGGGCACAGTGCGAGTATTGAGATTGGGCCTTAACCCCAAAATTCCACTATCTCCTCTCCGCCCCCGCTTTCCGCTGCCGCTCGCTTCCGAACTCAAATCATACTATACCCGCTCTACAACGGCTCTGCTCCAGTGCAGAGACCTGAGGTGCGCAAACAGGCATGCGCGGGATTTTCGAGATCTTGCGATACAGTCCGAGCAAGAAACGCGGAAGTTAGATCCAAACACCCGTTGTGTGGGAGAAGCATCGAAATGAACTGTTTAACCTGCCCATCATTTGTGTTGAGAGATCAGCAGTGTTTGGATCAACAAAGTGTGACTACTTTGATAGTAGAAACTGTATTTATGGCTTATTTTTGTGCATTTAAAGTTCAGCCGCCATTGATAGTTGTTAAAAGTTGTTAAACCTGTGCATATGAAACAAAAAACACTTTTTGTTTATCGATTTATTGTGAAATAACGGAAGTTGTGTTGCTCCCTTTCCTGTTGGGCGGTTGTGATTTCTGACCATTGACTGCGGAGGTGCTCCGGCGTCCGGCAAAAATAGAATCAGTCCTATTTTTGCTGGATGGCGGAACGGCGGGCGGTGCACTGCGCCGCACGGCCGCAGTAGTGGAACAGCTCTGACTGACTACAACGGGACAGTTTTTGCTGCGGAGTTCGTGCCGGAGCAGAGATAGTGGAATTTTGGGATACGTCTGGTAACTCACAGGCAGCGAGGCACATGGGGTCGGGACTAGCCAGCTCAAAAATAACCAATCAGAAAAGGGCAGAAATGCCGACTGTACCGCGCAATGCTGTAGTTTTTTGTCTGTAGTCAAAAATGCCGTCTGGCGACGGTGCAAACATCTTCTTAGAGAAGAAAGGCTTTTAAAGCTTCCACTTGTGGTTATAAAGACATGTTCGCGTCATTAAGAACAGATGAAAGAGCCACAGCGAACTCCGCTCAGATGCCATGTTTGTTGTTTATGTTCATAAGGAAGCATTGGGCTGTCTGGTCAGGCTAGTCTTTTATACAGATAACAAGTGTGCTATTAACAGTAATAACAACTCCACCCACACACATCATGCACTGTGTAGGGCACCGAGTGGCCAGGGGGACACCAACTAATTTCATGTATAAAAAAAGACTTCCATGAGATTCTCCTCTCCAAACGTCACAGAGCGGATCTGCTAGCCCCCCATATTCAAGTAAAACTTTGTGTAAAATTTGGCGGTCTAGTGGATAAAGCATTTGCCTTTAACTCTGTTTGCCATGTCCTGACGCTGTTTTGAGTCTCCATGTCACACTAATTATGGGACCTTGTTGTTGTTGACTGGAGGATTTGTTCTCTTTAATTTTGTCATTCTTCCATGGACGGTAATGTGGCTTGAACGGCAGCGTGCACCCCCACAAATTATACATAAAAATGAGCAGCTCGGCTTTGGGAGGTGTGCTATTACTTTTCTAAGAGTTTCAATTTATGATGGCAAAATTACTACCCAAAAACATCAAAAAATGTTCTTTTTGAGTGTGTGCCATGCTAAATATGTATAATTAACCAATTGTTAATATGGCTCAAACTGCAGCGTGCATCATTAGTTGATTATTAGATGGGAGGGCCTCTACAGAAGCTTTTTTACATATGCATAAACAATATCATGATTGTGGTTTTGTGTACCTTAACATCACCCAAATTTCATTATTTTGGGTTGTTCACCCCAACGTCACTCAAATTTCATTATTTGGCTTCTATAGCAGGTGGCCACTATCTTGTGCCAGGTGGCAGGTCCGTTTTTAAAATTTCTTCAAGAATTCTCGAGTTAATTTTCTTCTATTTTAGATACACGTCTTGTCCGTACTACGTTTTAACCCATTGTTGGTAAATTGTTTAAATAAAATGATTTCAGTGAGTTTTTGCCAGACTTTATATTCACATATATAGGAAGGCTTGCCAGGCTAAACATGCATTTTACATGTACAAAAATCCAAAGACCTTTGATGCTGCATTCAAAAGGATATTATTTTATAAGTTATAATGGCTCCTCAGCAAACTCCCCTTTTATTTCTTTTTGTTTCTCATTGATTTGCAGCTTAAACAGGTTTGAGGAGAGTGTCATCCCCTTCAGGTTGTTTGATGATCAGCAGGATGGTGCCTCCATCCAGGAACTGAGAAAGAATGCTCCTTGGAAAATATCTGATAAAGAGTTTGAGGCCTTCAAACAAAAGGCTAGTGTCAATTATAAATGCAGCAGGATGACGTTTTTCTAAATATTTATGCATGAAAATATGTTGCTCATGTCTCCCAAATGTGACTTTTCTCTACAGTCTGAAAATAAAGTGAGGCTGAATGAAATCATCCGAAAAAATTCACAACATAGTGCTCTAGTTCTTGTGTGAGTACTTTGTCAGCAATCATCTGAGATTCAGAGGCACTCAATAATAAAATATGAAAAATAACCAAAACGCTACAGTACATATTATTATTGAATCCAATAATGTTGATGTGAATATTATTTTTATCCCACAGGAGCCTCCCAGTTCCACAAAGGGACTGTCCCAGTGCTCTGTACATGGCCTGGCTGGACACCCTGACCTATGGCCTCCACTGCCCTGTGGCGCTAATACGAGGAAACCAACAGAACGTCCTCACGTTATACTGCCAGTAGATGATCGTTTGGAAAGATGGAGAAATATGTAGATGGGACACTCTGAGAGAGGTGCTGGACCACCATATGTTTAATGAAGTCAGCACTGCGTATCTGAAGTAGAACTCTACTTAATGGCATATAAATACATACATACTTGTACACTAGTTGGGAGAGAGCCACTAAAACATCAGTCTGTAGGGTCATAGATTGGATTCAGCTGTTAATTACAAACTTTAAGTGCTGGAAGCTTTCTCTGAATACCTAGAGGTGTAGCAGCGTGCATAATCCCTGGATCGGTTTTATATTATTTATTGATTCTGCTACTGACCACTAAACATCCATACCACTGATTTGAAAAGGACATGTGTCATCTGAACATCTACTCTTTGATTTGGTGTTGAGTGCTTTAGATAACATTTAAGAAATCAGTGCCTCTTTGAGTGTTCAGCGACTGACATGTTCTCATCGCGATGGCTGCACCCATTGCTGATTCATTTTCAGTGACAGCTTAGGACCATCACAGCCCTAACACAAAGACTTTTGCATCTCTGAAATTCAGTGTGATCCATCTATGAAGTTCCTCTAGCTGTCGTACTGTTGACCTGTTGTTGATGACAGTCTGTTTTATCTGCATGTTGGGGATTAAAGTCACCACTAAACTCTTCTATAAATGCGATTGACACTTTTCCTGCTGCTAGTCTCGTGGCAGCCAGCTGGACGATGAAGCTTCTATAGTCATTGTTCTTCTCTAGTGTAAAGAATGAGTCGTTTACATCTTATTCATGAACCAAAAAAATGTGAGATTCCATAGAATGATGAAATATCATTCTGATGGATCTTTGAATATTTTAACCAGAAGATCAGAACTTTTTATTGCAGGGATTAACTGACACTTCATATTAACTCCAAGGAAAGAGAGAGAGTCAAGTTTAAAATAGTTAAGAAATTTATTTCTACACAATTAAAACAAGACTAACTTTAACACTCTGTGTACTGATGGAACTAAGGTGGAGTGAGACGTGATGGATGATGATGGTGTGTGTGTGTGGAATGCTATTATCAGAACCAGCGGATCCGGAGAAGCGGTTAGTTCTGAGTGGGAGTGAATGTTTCGCTCTAAACCTTAGTAGGAGATTTATAACACACATGAAACGCCATCTGTTGGTCTACGTACCCAGGGGGAAGCCTCCATCAGATCCAGGATGTCGAGGTCCTAGTGAACCCTCTTTAGTACCGAAGCCGGTAGAAAAGCAGCGGTGCTGACCAAACTAGTCTTGGAATACTTCCAGGTTGCGACAGGTTATCCCTGGCGTCTCTGAGACCTTTAATATTGGTAATTAACAAGGTTGTTGATTATGTATTTATCAAAATAGTTTTTGTCTTCGCTTGGTAACAGAGGTGAAGCAGTTCAGATGAGCAGAGTGCATGAAAGACCTTGGCCACTATCTCATGTAGATTAGGCTGTCAGAGACTTCATGTCTCTGCTCGAGCAGACGCAGCAGATCATGACCTTTAGGTCATTAACAGGACATTCATGACGCTACATATTCCCCCTTTTCAAGGGCATGGTGGTCCAGGCAGAGACCACCTGACGTTGAACAAACCAGAGGCCAGAACGACTCAGTCGAGAAAGCAGGGTGTAATTTCCCAGGCAGAGGTTGAAAGTGGTGAGGAACGAACCACACACCGAAGGACATTCACGGATAATTCCTTTGGAAGCAGTTAAATCAACAGTCAGTAGATCATTAATATATCCACGGGAAGGGAATAATTCAAGCAGCAGCAGAATTTAGTATCTCTTCATGGAGGGAATAATTCAAACTGTAATTTGATCCTTGTAATTGCACTTAGCGTAATCCAGAGTAGGAGGACGACGAGCAGGCAACAGATCAGGTCCCAGCGCATGAAGTATCCCAGCAGCCATAGCCGGGATCAATGGACGTCCAGGTCCAACGAGCCGGAACAAGCAGCAGAGTCCGATGACGAATCATAGGGCCACCCCCAGGAATCGAGGAACATCGGCGAAACTCAGCAGAGGAGAGAGAGCACAACACAGAGCACCTCATTGTTGACACAAATGGCGTTTGATGCAAATCAACTAATAAAAAGAAACCTGTCAATGTGTGTACCTGTATGTACTATGTGAAGCAATTATGTGAACAGAGCCCAAGTGAAGAAATGGATGCAATATACTACGTGTACCGGAAAAAGTGGTGTAAAAGAACAAAATAGCAAAACCCTATAATATATGTAAGGGAAAAATAAATCATGCCACTAAGCAAAAATGTTATCAAAATGAGGGCAAAAATGGTTGTAGCCCATAACTCAGGGGTGCCCAATCCTGGTCCTGGAGGGCCGGTCTCCAGCAGGTTTTGTGGTGTTTCTGCTCCAACACACTTGATTAACTGGTTGAATCACCTGTGCAGCATCTCATCAGGCTCTGCAGATCCCTGTTAATCACCTGCTGATTGAAATCAGGTGTGTTGAAGGAGAGTTAAAACTAAAACAAGCTGGATACCGGCCCTCGAGGACCAGGATTGGGCACCCCTGCCATAACTGGTAAATCAACAAGTTAATCAAAAAGTTATCAAAACTTAATCAACTGTAAATAACAAAATAAAGGTAGACATGAGCGAAAATGAGCACTAAAATGTAAATCTGTGAAGTTAGTAATCAACCTATATGTGAATGTACCCCATAAGGTATTAAGATTAGTGAAAATAAAAACAAATTTGGATAGCACAACAGTATGTGGAATAAACCCTTTTACTGTTAAAACTTACTCATTACCTGACTTCAGAAACCCACAGCATGACCATCTCAAATCACGCAATTCTGCACGTCATGTATAAACAGGAAAGACAACCATGCACACACACAAACAAACAAACTTGTGTAACCTGAAACGGGACTGACAAGTCCGGGCAATAGAGATCACCCCCCTTACAAAGTAGAAGGCCTAGCTGAAGGCACGGGAGGTGCCAGAGGAGGTACAGGTGCAGAAGCGACTGGCGCAGGTTGCGGTATTTGGACAGCCAAGGTGTCGCGGACAACTGGCACGAGGGCACAAGATAGGCGGTTACCGACGTTGCGGACCGAGTCCCGTAGAGAGGTCATCCGTGCGGAGAAGTGACGGAACAGGAAAATGGCAACCCCAACGACAGACAAAGGTTTAAGCATGCAATGAATAACACGACAGAATCAACGGAGGACCAGGAGTAAGACACTGGTTGAAGCCTGAGACCGGGATCTGCCGACAACTCACGCAGCACCCTGTTTACCGCACCAACCCAAACCATGGTTGGACCACTGAACGCAACACGATCCACCGTAGCTGGAGAAAGAGCAAAGGAGATCTTATCACAGAAAGGAGAAAACTCCACAACAGACCTATGCTCACCAGGATCCAAGTAATATAGAGAGACCTCACCTACATAGGCCATAGCACTACATGGAACTGTCACCCATAGGGTTTTGGACGGAAGCACAACACGTGTGGACACACCGTGATGCTCGTAGAAAACATCCGCTTCACGAGCAGGGGTATTAACCAACCAACGGTCACCAACCACAAAAGCCGTAGTTTGAACCACATGTGAACATGGAGTCACAGTCATAGGACATTTAGAATCAACTGACAACTCATCAATGCCACACACCAGTGGCACTGCCATGCAGAAAAGGTGTGCCTGGACACAAGAAGTGCAGGTCAAGTGTGAAAGAACACACGCGCAGGTCTGGGACCAAACATATGTGTGGCGTGTCCTCATGGTACGCGACGACCGGAGGCGTATGTAACCTGACATGAGTGTCATCAACTCAATTACCTACATTTACCACATCTCTTAATCTGCAGATGTCATCTGGAGATACAATAGGTAAGTTGATGATGAAAGCTAGCTCACAAGCATCTGGATTGACACTTAATGGGATAGCGCTGCCCAGTGAGAAAGCCAAGTGAGTCTGAAGGGCCATCGGGTCCTTCGATGTCACTCGAGCAATCGCAGACTGGACCATGGCCAGGGACACAAGGTATGGAGGGATCCTCCCCATGAGGAGGGTATCGATCGAGGCACTCACGTCCCGACCGTAGTCGGACAGGCAAGTGGTCAGCATCTGTGTATGTGCATAATCAACATCCACAAAAAAACTTAATTCGTTCACAGCGGAAGTTGTTTTATGCAAAATGTCGCTATGAGTGTTGAGTACCACCATAGTCTGTTTTTCAGATGTGCCCAGCTGTCTCAGGGCATGCCGCTGCTGCAGTACCTACTTACGCAGAGCCGAATATTCTCTGTTAAGCTCATCGAAGTGTCGACGAACTGTGTTAACCTCAATCGAGTTGACTGAAGAGAATCTGAAATTTAAAAGATTGCCAATTGCTTTAGCTACTGAGAAAAGTCCATCTTGGAAACGCTTTGGCCAAATGCTGGGACCGGAAAGGTCACTCACTGTTTGAAACCGTGAATTTAAGCACCTGGACCAGTATGTGACGGATGTCAGCTTCTGCATGCTTCATCAGGGTACTAGTCCAGCCGGCTCCCGTTTCCGAAAGGTTGCCGAAGGCATTCGTCATCTTATCAGTACACGCCATAGCGGGGTCGAATTTGATGAAAATCTTTTGTGTGAATAGACGATAGTTAGTCATTAATAGACCTCGGCAATCTCAGAGTGTGATACCCAAAGAGGGCCCAGGTTCGTACAGACGCGTTAGAGGAGGCTGAGAATGAATCTCAGCTGCAGTCGATATCAGACCGATGCACGCAACTAACAAAACTTATTTGGTCAGAGCTGTAAATGGGAACCAAGGACGGTTTAGATTGTAGAATGGCGCGGACTTGCGAGGGTTCGGCGCAGGTAAGCGCTCTGGAGGGCCCTTGGTCAACGCGCAGGTGCAGTCAGAGAGATCAGGGTCAACCAGCAGTGGTACAGGCTGTCATTCAACCTCCCCTTTGTAGGTGAGTCACCAACCTCGGGTCTAGAGGTCACCAGCACCAGCTGTAATGCAGTGGTGTCAGTGATGTCATCAGCCTGTCCTTTGGCAGGTGGAGTCCCCACTGCAAGGTACTGGGCTTCAGCCAGAGTATCAGCACCACCATCAGTCCCCCTTTTGGCAGGTGGTGTTCCCACCGCAAGGTGCGGAGTCTCAGGTGGTGAGTCACTGCAACCGCCACCTCCCACTAGGGTAGGTGGTTTTCCCAGCACAGGGTGGAGTTGTCCTGATGCAGAGACGATGCAGACTCTCTGGATGTCACTGACCTCACTGGTACTGGATGGATCGACTGATCAGACTGGCGGCGCCATTGTGGTTAACAACGTCTAAAGAGGGAATGAGGCCCTCAAGAGACGCCAAGGGCTTCGGTTGAGTCAACCGAGTTCGGAGTGTCCAATCACTGAGTGAGATGACAGCCTTAAAGCGTTGGAGCAGGTCCCCTCCCAACAGGAAAGGAAAAGTTTCAACATTAGTCATAAACACTGGATGGCTCACTGACATGTCTCCCACTGTAAAGCTGAGGAACACCATGTTCGACAAGGTCATTTGACTTGAAGAGAAAGTATTGATGTTCACGGCGCAGAGCGTGAGTCCTATGACGCGACCCTGTGCAGCTGCAGTCATGCGGACCTGCTCCCAGAGAGAGCTGGACATGATGGTGAAGTCTGAACTG